GGATGTGTATTTATGAGGTTAAGTCAGCTGTGTCCTACTGTGCCCAGAGAATTTTATTGTGTCCGGTCCAGAGAACCATTCATGATTACAAAAGAACTATTTATGAGGTTAAGTCTGCTGCTTTTGTGGGGTTAATCTTGGTATGAACAATGAACTACTAAGAAGAAGAGTAAGATGGGTTTATTTATGAATGGTTCTAGATACAAGCATTGCCAGAAAATTTCGTTTCACCATTCTTATGTTCATCTTCTCCTTCGTTTATCTATTCAACATCAGGAGGCTATATTATATACATGAATACTTGAAAGGTTTGAGTATGTTGAAAATAATATAACTGTAACTAAATGTCGTTATACTTCTCTCTTTTAATCATGTGCAAATTAAGCACATTGAGGACCCTGTTTTTTATGAAAGGTCTGTTGTGCATATATATATATATATATATATATATATATATATATATAGTTCTCTCTCTAAGATGGAGAAGAGTGACAAAACAGCTGCAACAATTACCACGACCTCAACATCTCCTCTTCTATTTTAAAAAAATGGCGATGAACGCAGCAAGTTTGACCACAATGTGTTTAGTTAACTACTAATGCCCATTACCTACCATTGATTAATTATCAACATCGTTTACGATTTTCAAAGGGTAATCTTGACAATGAACTCAATGCATCAAAAACGAATCAGGTTCTCACAAATTAAAGTAGAAGAGAAGAAACCATGAGATTCAAAACTTCAATCTTCTGATCTTTCAGTAAAGCAAGAGATCAAGAAATTGATGACCTTGAAGAGTAAGATCTGAAACTGTAAAGAAAAAAGATTATGAACTTCAACATGCCCACCGGAGTTGATGCCCATGTTAACCCAATGGTCTCATAGCAAGTAAAGTTTTGTGTTCAATACTTAAAATTGAAACAAGCGTTGGACCAAATGAAGGTCTCAGGCTCAAATCGGACAATATCATATTATGTGGTGGAGTGGGTTGTTACAAATGGTATCAGAGCCTGACCCAGCCGGAAATGTGCTGACGGGGACGTCGGGCCTCCAAGGAGGGTGGATTGTGACAACTTTGTGGGCGGGTGCTATCACACCGGCGAGATACGAGTGCACAATCTCACGTCGCTTGGGAAAGAGAAAGGTGAAATGCTTAGGGCAGACGGTATAGCAATAGCTATACGGGCTGGCAATGCATATGTTGATTGCAAGCCACGTCAACAATTGTGCTACGTGGATAGTTACAGTAATTTGCTAGTAAAAGTCGAGGGTATGGTGATAACTATTTATTATTTTATTAATTTTTGCTAGTCAAGATCCATTGAGTTCTTACTAACAAAAAGGAAACAAACAGGTGAAGCTTTGGGCCCACTTTAGGCTAGCAACCAGGGGGCTAACAGTGGCAATGGAGATTGCTAGCAAAATGGGTTGGCCCACTATTAGCCAGCACCACACCCTTCTTTACTGTCGCAATACTGACTCATTTGCTAGCAAAAATCTATTTATACCGGTTGCTCTTATATGTAGATGTGTCACTTCAATTGGAATGAGGCTTTTTGGGGTAAAACTTAAGAGCAAAACCGTGCAAACTCAGGTCTAAAACGGACAATATCATATCATGTGGTAAAATGAGTAATTACAACGTCACTTACAATATTCCAAATTTCTAACTACGCAATCTATACGAGGTGAGCCACAGATATTTTTCGAAAAGGAAAAACATATTACATTATTTCTACACTAGGCGTCAATAAAGCGCGTGTGGAAATTATGAAATTGAAAGAAAACAATCTTCAATTATATTCAACAAAGTGTACCCATGCAAGTCGTCAAAAGAATGGGTTCCACTTATCATCATCATTAATGTTTACATTATATTCAAAGAATCAAAGGAATAGTGTTATTTATCAGAATATCCCTGAACGAGGGAAAAGATTTGTTCCTTATAACTTCCTTGTCTCAAGTAATCTTCCTCTACAATCAGACATCAAACCTCAAATGTAACCAAAATGCATCTTGCATATGAAGCTATTAATAAAAATATTTGGAGGAATATATTTAAAACTTGATAAGTTAATTTGTTATTCTTCAAAATAATAATAATAATAATAATAAAAATGAGGGAAAATGAAATGAAAGGGAGAGCAAAGACTATCATTTTTAATGAAACTTTATTAATTTTAAATTTGTCTTTATTTTTATAAAAGATAACATCTATAAAAGAAAAAAAAAATGTATGAGAATTAATTCATTAAAATAGTTTTCTTTCTTTTCTTTCTCCAAATATAATTATTATCTTTTCATTTCTTTTTATTTATAAGTCAACCAAACACAATAAGTACTTCATGTTATTCTCTCATTTCATTTCTTTTCTCTTCTCTCATAAACTTTATTAATTTCAAATTATGAAATTAAAAAAATTTCTTCAATTATCTTCAATAAAGTGTGTGGAAATTATGAAATTAAATTTTTTTTTTCTCAATTATCATCAATAATGCTTGTGGGAATTATAAAATTGAAGAAATTCTTCAATAAAGTGCGTGGACGTGGCAAGATTCGCTGGATTGAAAGTGACGATGTTACATTCAAAGAAAGAAAGGAAGAATTTTATTTACTAGAATAGCCCTTAGGAAGGGAAAAGGTTTGACAAGTAGTAGCATAGTATACTTTAGGTCATGGAAAATTTGAAAACAATTACATATCCTTTTGCAAGTTAGAGGCATACTGCTAATTATTATGAGTAACGAAAAAATCTTGAAAAGTAAAATCCCATTATCTGATTCATTACTGCTAAAAAAAATTTAAGAATCTCACTCTTTGATTTCAATAACTATGGATTTAGAGACCAATTAATTTCCTATTCATTCCTTATGTTTCCCTTTAAAAAACAAAGCCTTATAATAATGCGTAAAAATCAAATAAAATAGAAATTATGAGCAACTGATTGAAAAGTAAGGGCAGAAAAATTTCATGATATTAAAAATGGGTACTCCGTATTAATTACCAGAATAGCCCAGAGATGGGAAAATGTTGTGTTCTTCCTTATAACTTCCTCCTCAATCAGACCTCAAGGCTCAATCCCAACATACACAAATACAAAATATATACGTGCATGTATATATATATATAGACAAATAGATTATAGAGAGAAATGTGGTAAAATTAAGGAAGGATTTACCAGTTGGTTTGATCATGAAGTTGTGAGAAACAAGGAAGGAAGGTCCATCGTATTGGATGCAGCAAGGGTGCTGATGAATCTGTCTCTCCAGATGATCCACTGTTGACTTGCGACAGCTATGATTGATGCTTCCAACGGTTCTGATCTCCGAACCTTTATCCCCATTTATGGACTTCATCCACGATCACCGAATTTACGCTCCAATGAACAAGCTCTAATAATTTCTTGGGCCAACTGAAAACTGTTGACTTTCTCTACCACCTTTTTTATTTATTTATCTCATTTTTATTTCGGATTTATTAACAAAACAATTCAAAATTAAAAATAACAAAAAAGGAAAATTTGAAATCCTTAAATAATAATGGGGACAAATCAAGTGTAAACAAATAAGCCAAATATGCTCGTGAAGGCCACGTTGTTGTTTTGTGTTTCCATTTCTATTCAAATATATATATATATATTGTTGTGGTTTGTATTTGAATTTTAAAACATGTTTAGTAATGTAAAATTTGTAATATGAATTTTTTTAAAATAAGAATATAAAAAAATATTTGATAACAGTAAAAGTGCTGCACGAATTTTGGCAGCAAAACGCCTTAAACAAATAAGATAACAAAGTGTTGCTAAAAAAAAAAAAAATTGGTAGTTAAAATAAAAATCATTTTGGTAATAAGTATTTCCAATGATAAAAGACATTATTTTTTACTGCTAAGGCATTGACACTCAACAGGATAATTTTAAATATACCAACGGGTCAGTGACCTAGCCTTTTACTTCCTAAAGGCTCTTACTTCCCAAAGGAATATCAGGGGTTCAAATCTCAGAAGAGACATGTGTGTATGAGTACTAACTAGGAAAAAAAATACAACTGGAAATATGCTTAAACTGAAATTAAATTATATTATGTTTGTTGATGTCTTATTAGTATTTTGTGCAGGAAAGATTTTCTCTATTAATGTTTATTACATAAACTTTGGAAAGGCATTTACACGTGCAGACACTTCTAAATTGTACAAGACTTGACGTTTTGAAGAAAATCATGAACACCATGAGGAGAGTGTGTAAAACGATGTGGACTGATTTTGACAGGAGGACAAACTAAACTATTTCTAAGCAATTTCTCACATTGTGGTTAGCTATCCTTGATAAACTCCTTATCGGATTAAATCATTGGCCTCTCAGGTATTGGAGTTGCAATTTGAAAATAAAGGAACTTCAGAATCTTGAAGCTCGAGTAGAGAGAGTTGAAATGAGTATAAAAAATTTTCCTCGAAAAGTTTGGCTCTACTGGTTTGGCTTTCCTGTTTATTACTTGATTTGGCTTGTGATTGGAACTTCATCATCTAGTTTCTATACTAAATGACACTGATAAAATTTTGCCCTAAGGCATTTTCTAGTTGTTTGTTAAAAACTTGAATGAACAATATGAGAGTATCGGCTCTTGCAACACACAAATTATACATTTTTCACTTGTTTGATCAACAGTGGAATTAACAATAACTCGTATTGGCTATTTAAAAAACATATGGCTACTTTGATTGAAACTTTCCCTTTTGTTCCATGGTCCAACTTTATAATAATAATCAAATGAACCAATGAAAACATGTACATGACAAATGGTTAGTGGTACCGAGCCACTAGTACTTTATAAAGGGAGGTTAGGAATTTGAGTTTGAGTGGAGTTATGTGTGTAAGTAGCAACCAAAAAAAAACATGTACCTCCATTTTTTATTAAAAAAAAAAAAGTAAAAATAATAATAGAATTAACACCTGGAAATTGGAATTTGACAAGAAAAACATTATAAGAATTGGAAGTTGCACATGCATTGAATAAAATATTGAATTAACTCCATTTGACATGAACAATGACAACTGTTTTTGTATAATTTCAGTCAATATATATACAACTGTGTAGTAGCACAATAGTATAGTATACATCAGATCTGCTAAATTAGCAGAATACAAATGAAGAGCAACAATATCATCCGGTAACAACACAAAAGGCAATTAACTAAAGAGCACCATCCAACTGAAGAGCAGAACAAGTCAAATGACACCAACACAGAGTGGACAGGCAACACCCAACCAAATCTAGGAATCGAGATTAAAATTGGTTAAGCAACCAAAAATACCACTCAACCATAGCATAGCCATTAGGAAATGAAAACAAGCATTCATTTAGAGATCCATGATCAATCTCACCCAAATTGAGCAAAGGCTTCCACTTTGCGATATTGTGCCGATTCCAGTTTGAAACTTTTATCTCAGTCCTGAATGATATTTTGCCGATTCCAGTTTGAGACTTCACATGTTGAGAGAGAGAGAGAGAGAGAGAGATAAAAATCGCGATATTTTGCCGATTCCAGTTTGAGACTTCACATGTTGAGAGAGAGAGAGAGAGATTATCAAGTACCTGAATGATATTAGAGACCAAATCAGTCCCAAAAGGCTTAATATAGAAGTAATATTGCTCAAGTTAGCGGCAAAAAAGGGCGCTTGTGCTCTAGCAAAATAAATGCAGCTCATATGATAAAAAATTTACTTGACAAGCCAATAAAAGATTAACCATCTCATCAAATATGAGCTTTTCTTATGAGGGTGTTTTTTTTTTTTAGCCATCAAAATTCAAAATATGGTTCAAACAATATGATTTAATTAAGTTGTACCATGAATCTCCTAGTATTTATGAAGACATTAAACCTTACCAGTGTGTGCTTTTTCCATAGAAGCAGAAATTGAAGCATTGGTCCTTCCCAGCTCCCAAACCACAATTGAGGACTTGTTGGATATATATAACCATTATTAACATATATCTAAAATTGAGTAGAATATATAAGATTCTAACATGATAAATATCAAATGTTCTGCACATTAGTAGTTGATAAGTCTAAATTAAATACCTCTGAGAAATTTTATTCACTTTAATATGAGCCAAAAAATCTGTATCCAAACAATTTTAAGAAAGAAAACATCTTAGGAAAACATTTCGATTCCTTTAAAGCTTTGACCGATTGTTATGTAATACATGACCTCAAACCTTGACTGAGAAACCAACTAAAATATCAAAATAATCAATTCATGGTTGTGTTGCAAAGATTACCTTGAGCGAAGATTGTCTCTCTATGTTCAGAGATTGATTGAATGCATGAAGTAGAGCCCTAACAGATTAATGGCCTCTCGAAGTTGAAGAGATTATGAAATTGATCTTTCATTCATTCTTTTGACATGCATGTGTGAATTTGGAGCTTCAATTGCGAGCCCTAAAATCCACAAGAATTATAGAACGATGTCTCCATGACTCCATTCGCTTCAAACTAAGCCATAGTCTCGAAATCACCTCGAAGTGGAAGGGTTCTTGAGAACGGTGAAATGATGGGGAGGAGAACAGAGAAACAATCACAGTTACAATCAATTAAGGGGAAAAAAAACCATCATACGAAGACAAAATAGATTAGCAGAAAATAGATAATTACCATGACATCCTGCAATTTTCCTAGTGACTTGCATGATTTCAATGCATAACAAAATAGTGCTCTGGAAGGTCTGGTAATTTTCCTAGTTTGTCACACCTCGAAAGATCTAATTCCTTTAAATTTGTTAGTTTGGACAAATCAGGTATCCTCTCCAAGGCCATACACCATGACAAGTCCAACCATTCTAGGAGTTTCAGTTCCTCAAGTCCCCAAATCTCAGAAAGTTTATCACACCAACGAAGACTTAATTTCCTCAACTTTGTTAGTTTGGACAAATCAAGTATCCTCTCCAAGGCCTTGCAGGCTACCAAGTTCAACTCTGATAGGAGTTCGAGTTCCTCAAGTCCCCGAATCTCACCAAGTTTCTTACACTCGGAAAGATTTAATTTCTCTAAATTTGTTAGTCTTGACAGATCAAGTGCCTCCTCCAAGGCTGTGCAGTTTGACAAATCCAGCTTCTTCAAGGATTTCAAAGCCTCAAGACCCTCAATCTTACGTATCTTCTTGCAGTAACGAAGATTTAATCCTTCCAGCTTTTCCAATTTGGATAGATCAGGCAATCTTTCCAAGGAATCGCAATAACTCATATTCAAATCTTCCAAGGATTCCAATCTATCAAGGCCCGTAATTTCTTTCAGATTCTTGCAAAATGCAGTACTTAAATTCCTTACCTTCTTTAAGTTGGAAAGATCGGGTAATGTTTCTAGTGACTTACAGTATGACAAGTTCAACTCTGTTATGAGTTTAAGTTCCTCTAGTCCACAAATCTCAGAAAGTTTCTCACAGTCACTAAGATTTAATTTCCTCAACTTTGTTAGTTTGGACAAATCAGGTATCCTCTCCAAGGCCGTGCAGGCCATCAAGTTCAACTCTGGTAGGAGTTTGAGTTTCTCAAGTCCCCGAATCTCACCAAGTTTCTTACACCGGCGAAGTTCCAATTTCTCTAAATTTGTTAGTCTTGACAGATCAGGTGCATTCTCCAAGGCTGTGCACCATGACAATTCCAGCTTCTTCAAGGATTTCAAATCCTCAAGACCCTCAATCTCATGTATCTTCTCGCAGGAACTGAGATTTAATCCTTCCAGCTTTTCCAATTTGGATAGATCAGGCAATCTTGCCAAGGATGTGCAACCACTCATATTCAAATATTCCAAGGATTCCAATCTATCAAGGCCCGTAATTTCATTCAGATTCTTGCAATCTGTAACCGTTAATTTCCTTACCTTCTTGAAGTTGGAAAGATCGGGTAATGTTTCTAGTGATTCACACCCATCTAAATGTAATTCTGTTAGGAGTTCTAATCTTCCAAGGCAAGGAATCTCCCTTAATTTTAAACACTCTATAACACATAGACTTGGTAAGTTTTTCAAATTTGACAGATCTGGCAACCTCTCCATTGGCTCACAATGTTTGACATTGAGATACATAAGACCTGAGGGAAGAGCCGGAAGGCATTGAAGTTGTGTACACAAATATACATAGAGAGACGTAAGACTTGAGGGAAGATCTGGAAGGCATTGAAGTTGTTTACAATACTGTACATTGAGAGACGTAAGACTTGAGGGAAGAGTTGGAAGGCATTGAAGTTGTTCACAAGTATCTACATCGAGAGACGTAAGACTTGAGCTAAGAGCTGGAAGGCATTGAAGTTGTCCACAATTATGTATATTGAGAGACGTAAGTCTTGAGGGAAGAGTTGGAAGGCATTTAAGTCGTCCACAATATTTTACATGGAGAGACGTAAGACTTGAGGGAAGAGCTGGAAGGCATTGAAGTTGTTTACACCAAATTACAGTTAGAGACGCAAGACTTGAGGGAAGAGCTGGGAGGCATTGAAGTTGTTCACAATTATGTACATCGAGAGACGTAAGACTTGAGGGAAGAGCTGGAAGGCATTGAAGTTTTCCACAGTTATCTACATGGAGAGATGTAAGACTTGCGGGAAGAGCTGGAAGGCATTGAAGTTTTCGACAATTATGTACATCGAGAGACGTAAGACTTGAGGGTTTTCGACAATTATGTACATCGAGAGACGTAAGACTTGAGGGAAGAGCTGGAAGGCATTGAAGTTTTCCACAGTCATGTACATAGAGAGACGTAAGACTTGAAAGGGCACCAATTGATCGGTCAATATCAACCAAACGCCAACAGGTTTTAAGAATCAATCTCTCTAAAGTTGCATATGAAGAGAAGTCGGGAGTCGTAATCAAGTTTTTGCAACCTGTGAGATTTAGAACTTTCAACTTCGTTGCATTCTGCAAAATAAGGAAAAAAGAGAATTGCTTAGAATCAATTACAGAGAATTATGTGATGAGATACACGAAACAAAAGCAGAGAAATTGATGAAACCTTGATATAATTCCAACCCTCCCACTCTTTTCTGACCTCGCTCCATGATAAATCAAGAATGACCAGATTCTTTAGATGAAAATTGGTTGGTCCAAAATTTTGAGGGCATCCGTTCCAGCGAAGCCATTTTAACTTTGAAAGAAGACCCTCAAAATTTCCTTCCAGGTTTGCATAGTCCACTTGAAGGAACCTTAGATTAGATAGGTCTGCAAATTCTGTATTTGTAAGCCGTCTTAAATTTTTCTGTGACTCTGCTTGAAAGTCAACACAGATAGCTTCAACCTTTGTTGTTCCCTGCCAAAAGAGAATCTTTAGATAAGTAAAAAATATACTAAGGCTACAACAATGGTGGACACAACAACTAGTATTAATCATGTTACACTCTCTCTGAGGAAATTCCAGTTATTATTTCAGCTTTCAAGTAGTTCATACATAATTGAGTTAGTAAGGTGACAAGAAAATTAATGCTTAATTAGATTAGATAGGTTTGCAAATTCTTCATTTGTAAGACACAGAGCTTCAACCTCAGACTCTGATTCAGAGTCTTCAACCTCATACTCTGATTCATACTCTGATACAGAGTCTTCAACCTGTGACTCTGATTTTAAGTTAAGACAGATAGCTTTAACCTTTGTTGTTCCCTGCCAAAAGAGAACATTTAGATAATCTGCAAAAGGTGAGAATTTGAGAGGTAATCTATCATAAAGTGATAATTAGGGGGAATGAAATTTAACATTAATAATTAATGTCCTTGAAAACAATGGTTTGGGTACAACCATAAGTGGCATTTGCAGGCTATAGGTTTTTAATGGCCGACTTGTTGAGCAGGAGTGGCTCAATATAAGCTGAGGCTAAGGCAATACAAGAGAATGTTCGTGCAGTAATATAATTAATATTAATTAACTTTCTATATTAAAATATATATAAATAAAATATTGTTCTTGCTTCTTGAGATGCAAAATTACAAATTTTTGTTAGAAATCTTGATTATTTATTTACTAATTTTTTTTTTTTTTTTTTTGTTTTTTGGTAATATTTTGTTTATCATTACAAGAGCTCCTTTTTAAAATAAATAAAAAAACAAAAATGGAATTAATTTTCCCAACCCTTTCTTTTTTCCTATTAGAAATTTTTACTAATCATAATTCACATTTTTAAATAAAACGTATTTATAGATTAAAAAAAAAAAAAGTTAAACTAAAGAACAATAGAACCGACCTTATGCAAGATTTATTGAAAGTGTTTTAATTATAAAAATGCAAGATTTTCTCACCTAGAAATTAAACATAACGAGAATTAACTAATCTGCTTGACCATATTAAAAACATGACAAATTTAGAAGAATATGGAAAGGAGGAGTTGATAGATATAGCTGAAAACGTGTGAGGGGAGAAATTGCTGGAGATTCTTGACATTAAAAATCCTAAAATGGGCCAAGTAGAAAGAGAATGTATAAAGGGCTGCTTTTGAGTAGTTCATAGCTCATACATAATTGTATTAGTAAGGTGATAAGAAAATTAATGCGCAACAAGGACATCGGGAAGGAGTTGGATCTTACTGCATGCCTCTCCAATACGTCGATGGCATCTTCATGAAACCACACCCTACTACGCTTCCCCGGCTCTTTAACATTTTCTTGACGAACAATATCTCTCCCAAGGTCTCTAAGCTGGTCATGCATCATTAGCTCATTATTATCTCCAATTTTCACCAACAACCGGCGGCAAAGAGCTCCTATCTCTGCTTTGCCAAATTTCCACATGTGGACAGCAATTCTTTCATCCACCCCAATGAAAAGGCATGCAATATCAAGAAATACTTCTTGTTGATTATCGTCTAATGCATCGTAACTTATTTTCAGCCTATCCGTCACATCTTTATGCGGGATGCTTTTCAACTTGTTTATTGTATCTTCCCATTCCTCTTTTCCGATGCTAATAAAAAGTGAGCCAATAACCTCAAGAGCCAAAGGCAACCCTCCAGTAGTAAACACAACATCTTTAGAGAGAGAGTAATAGTCTTGTGGGGGACGGTCCATTCTAAAAGCATGTCTGCTGAAAAGTTGAAGAGATTGACTATCATCCAATTCCTCTAGCTTGTAAGTCCAACAATCTACCTCAAGCAGATTTAGGACCTCTTCGTTTCTAGTTGTGACAATTATCCTGCTTCCTAAACCAAACCAATCACACCTTCCCAAAAGTGCAAATGCATGAAGATGATCTCTCTGATCAACATCATCCACAACAACAAGAACTTTCTTCCCAGAAAATCTCTGTTTGATTGCATTAAGGCCATCATCCATAGACCTAATTAAGACAGAGTGTCCCTGTTTCAAGATGCTCGATACAAGTTGGTTTTGCAAATCAACAAGACCATTGCGTTGTTGAGCTTTTTCTCTAACGTCTGCAAGGAAGCAACAGGATTCAAATTCAGATTTCTTTTGGGAGAGATTGTTGTAGATGACCCTGGCAATAGTGGTCTTGCCGATACCTCCCATGCCATGGATTCCCACAATCCTTACATCAATGGAATTAACACTCAACAATTTCATCATTTCTTCTACATGATCATCAATTCCAACCAAGCGTTCATAATTTACATCCAATGAGTTCCTTTTCAGCTTTTCCCATACCTCTAAAGCAATGTCCTTTACCAGTTCTCCTTCATGCCTGCCAAACATAATTGATGTCAGATGTATATTAGAAAAATGATAAATATATATGGCCTATTTAAATTTTCAACAGTTATTTTCTATTCTCAGAAAATTAAAAATAAAAAGTAGATTCAAAATTCATTTGATTGACAAACTGTTGTAAATTTGTAAATTAAGTTAAACTTAACCAAACAAGTTCGAAGTTGGCTCGAAAAAGGAGGAAAATAATGATGATTTTATTTTTCTCTCTGAAAGTTCAATCAATGTACACATACACACCCATAATATTGCCCCCAGTTAGCATGGCTCCAAAACTCAAGCTCCCCTTTGGGGAATTGTTATACTCTTCCTTAATTTTTATCTTTAAAAAAAAAAAATTCATATATGATTTCCATTAATCAACCAAATGTTAAAAGACTATGTCAAACAAAATTGATTTATTTTTTCTTTTTATGAAATTGTCTATTATAGTTATTTTACTTCAATTGTATTAATTACTAATTCAAATAATATCACTTCTCTAAAACCGTGCAAGATTATATTAGCCGTAGGATTAGATCCTACGACTATAATTGAAAGTGAGTATACTTTTGCTTATTCACCGTGTATATCTATATCTATATATATACTATTATTAAATGTACAAACAGTTTCAGTGTTTCAGTATTTTAACAAAATTGATTTTTTGTTTTTCTTTTTATGAAATTGTCTATTATAGTGATTTTACTTCAATTATATTAATTACTAATTCAAATAATATTACTTCCCTAAAACCGTGAAGATTATATTAGCCGTAGGATTAGATCCTATGACTATAATTGAAAGTGAGGATACTTTTTCTTATTCACCGTGTATATCTATATCTATATATATAATATTATTAAATGTACAAACTATTTCAGTGTTTCAGTATTTATTTATTTATATAAAAAATATTTAAAAAAATTTATGGATAATTATCATAATAAAACCAGCCCGACCCAGTTATGATTATGTTATTATCAGGAGAGGACACATGTCGTCATCCTATTAATCCAAGAAACCTATAAATAGAGGCATGGAGGAAGAAGGATAGGTACAAAAATTGAGAATTCTAGAAATTCAGAAAAATATTAAAAAAAAAATTATGAATAATTATCACAATACAACCGGCCCGCCCAGTTATGATTATGTCATTATCAGGAGAGGACATATGTTATCATCTCATTAATCCAAGAAGCCTATAAATAGAGGCATAGAACACGGAAACTCTGCCAAAGAGTTTCAGTATTTATTTATTTATATAAAAATATTTATTAATTGATATAAAAAGAGTTTTTATATATATTTTTAGGTCTATCATTATTTATTTATTTATATAAAAAAATATTAATATATAAAAATATGTATTAATTCATATAAAAAGAGTTTTTAAAAGATTTTATACAAAACTCTTTACACATATTACCTATTTACCTATTTATTATGAGTTTTTGTAATAAAATAAAACATATCTATACTATTGTTAAATGTGCAAATAGTAGCAGTGTTTTAGTATTTCAGTATTTATTTATTTATATAAAAAAATATTAAATTTTTTTTATGAATAATTATCGTAATATAACCGGTTCGGTACAGTTATGATTATGCCATTATCAGAAATGGATACATGTCATCATCCTATTAATCCAAGAAGCCTATAAATAGAGGCATGAAGGAAGAAAGAAATGGTATAAAAATTGAAAATTCTAGAAATTCAGAATTTCAGAGTAAAATACAGAAACTTTGCCAAAGAGTTTCAGTATTTATTTATTTATATAAAAAATATTTATTAATTGATATAAAAGAATTTTTATCTATATTTTTAGGTCTATCATTATTTATTTATTTATCTAAAAAAATATTATTAATATATAAATATATGTATTAATTCATATAAAAAGAGTTTTTAAAAAATTTTATACAAAACTCTAACACATATTACCTATTTATCTATTTATTATGAGTTTTTTTAATAAAAGAAAATGTAATTAAACAAGTATATATTTAAGGAAAATTAAAAATTTCTATAAAATTTGCCAAAAATTAATAATTTATAAAAAATTCTAACACAAATTACTTATTTTATTTTCAATAAAACTTTATTACATTAGACAAGGATATATTTTAAGATTTTCTATAAAACTCTAACACAAATTACTTGAACTCTACCACAAATTAACAATTTTATTTTTCTTAAAACTCTATCACATATAACAAATTAGTTTTTATTATGACTTTCAGTATGTATTTATTTATATAAAAAAATATTTATTAATTGATGTAAAAATAGTTTTTATAAAAATTATTTCTATAAAACTCTAAAAATTACCTAATAAAATCAATCACAATAAAATATTTATTAATTAATATAAAACGAAGTTATTTTTATAGATAATTGGCCCGGCCCATTTATGATTATGTCATTATCAGTAGAAGACACATGTCATCATCATATTAATCTAAGAAGTCTGTAAATAGAGGCATAGAAGAAGGAGGAATGAGTACAGAAATTGAGAATTCTGTAAATCCTGAATTTCAGAGAGAAATAAAATAAAATACAGAAGTTTTGCTAAAGAGTTTTAGTATTTATTTATATAAAAAATATTTATTAATTGATATAAAAAGAGTTTTTATTTATACTATTATTAAATGTGGAAAGAGTTTTAGTATTTATTTATTTATATAAAAAAAATATTTATTAATTGATATGAAAAGAGTTTTTTTTTAAAAGAAGAAAAAAAAAACTATATAAAACTCTAAAATCTACCTAATAAAATTAAAATTAACCTATTTATCTGTTTATTTTTAAGAATTTTTTAATAAAAGAAAATCTAATTAGACAGGAATTATTAATATAAAAAATATTTATTAATTGATATATAAAATAAAATAATTTTTTAAAACTCTACCACAAATTAACTTTTGTTATGAGTTTCTTAATAAAATGAAATCTAATTAGATAAGGATATATGTAAAGAAAATAAAATAATTTTTATAAAATTCTATCACAAATTAACTATTTTATTTTCAATAAAAACTCTAACACATTAAATAAAGATATATTTAAAGAGTTTCTATAGAACTCTAGCACAAATTACCTACTTATCTATTTATTATGAGTCTTTGAATAAAAGGAAATCTAATTATACAAGTATTATTAATATAAAATTGTTTATTAATTCATATCAAAAGAGGTTTTAAAATAATTTCTATAAAACACAAATTACCTATTTATCTATTTATTATGAATTTTTTAATAAAATAAAATCTAATTAGACAAGAATTATTAATATTATAAAATTTTATTAATTGATATAAAAAGTGTTTTTAAAAGAGTTTCTATTAAACTCTAATCGAAATTACGTATTTATTTATTTATTATGAGTTTTTTAATAAAGAAAAATCTAATTAGACAAGAATTATTAATATAAATTTTTTTTTATATGATATAAAAAATAAAATAATTTTTTTAAAACTCTACCACAAATTACATTTTATTATGAGTTTTTTTTAATAAAAAGTAATCTAATTAGACAAGAATTATTAATATATAAAAATATTAATTAATTCATATAAAAGGAGTTTTTAAAAGTTTTTCAATAAAACTCTTTTACATATTACCTATTTATCTATTTATTATGAATTTTTTTAATAAAAGCAAATATAATTAAACAAGAATATATTTAAACAAAATAAATTTTTTTTATAAAATCTACCTTAAATTAGATGTTTTATTTTCTATAAAACTCTATCACATTATCTATTTATTATGAGTTTTTTAATAAAATAAAATCTAATTAGACAATAATATATTTGAATAAAATAAAATAATTTATATAAAACTCTACCACAAATTAATTATTTTATTTTTTTATAAAACTCTATAACATATACCATTATAATCTATATTTATCTATTTATTATGAATATTTTTACAGAAAAGAAAATAATTTCTATAACAATGTACCATAAATTATCTATTTTATCAATTTCAAAATATTTCACTATTTATTTATTAATATAAAAAACTATTTATTAATTAATATAAAAAAATTACAAAAAATTACAATTTTGTAAAGTTTATTGTTACAAGCTTTAAATCAATAATAAATATATATATATATATATATAAAGAAAAATTATAAAAGTGCCTTATCTTATCCTAGTATATATAAATATTATAAGCATGTATGGATGGTAGATATATTTAAAGAAAATAAAAAATTTCTATAAAATCTACCATAAATTAGATGTTTTATTTTCTATAAAACTCTATCATATTATATATTTATTATGAGTTTTTTAATAAAATAAAATCTAATTAGACAATAATATATTTGAACAAAATAAAATAATTTGTATAAAACTCTACCATAAATTAGTTATTTTATTTTCTATGAAATTGTATAACATATAACATTATAATATGTATTTATCTATTTATTATGAATATTTTTACAGGAAAGAAAATAATTTCTATAACACTGTACCATAAATTATCTATTTTATCAATTTCAAATATTTCAGTATTTATTTATTAATATAAAAAAATATTTATTAATTAATATAAAAAGAATTACAAAAAATTACAATTTTGTAAGATTTATTATTATAATCTTCAAATCAACAATTAAAAAATATATATATGAAAATAAAAATTATATACGTGCCTTGTCCTATCCTAGTATATATAAATATTATATGCATGTATGGATGGTAGATATACAGATGCAATTACCCATCAGCAAATTTCTTCCGTTCCCGTCCCGTCAATCCCCCGACCTCCTTCAATGCGTCCTTCCAACCTTGCACGGTATCACCATCAAAATCCTTCTCGTGTTTCCGGAAGGCCTTTTCGTAACTCCCCTTCTGCTCTCGCACATCGGACGGTTTGACGTCGTAGAAAATGGGAATTATGATGTGCTCCCGAGTCTTCATACACTCAACCATCTTGGTGAGCTCACGCAGGCACCACTCACTTGAAGCATAGTCTTCGGAAAAGATGGGAATGGATATCTTTGATTGCTCGATTGCGTTGAGAATCTCACTAATATTCTCTCCAAGGCGAAGCGCCTTGTCGTCTCTAAACGTGTGGATTCCTTTCTCTGAAAGGTCGCAGTAGAGGTAATCAGTGAATTTCTTACGAGTATCCTCGCCTCTGAAACTCAAGAAGACTTCATAGTTCCATCCTGCAGCAGCAGGTGGAGAGGTGGACGATGAACAAGTGTTGGAAGGTGGTAATGAAGTGTTAGAAGGTGGTGGTAATGAAGGTGGTGGTAATGAAGTGTTGGAAGGTGGTGGTAATGACGTGTTGCTGGTCTTCTTCTTCTTCTTGATAATGAACACAAGAAAGGTGAGGAGAATTGCAGCAAGTGTGATGAGACCAGGTAGCCATAAACGGTTCTTTGTATCCATTTCAAAGGGGTGAGAGGAGAGGCTTTTGCAGTGATGAGTTGTTGTTATGTTCGAGTGGTTAGAAATGAAAATGATGTGAAACTAATTATCAGTAGGTGTTCACTTATTTATCATTACTAGTATTGTTTTGAATGTAAACGCAAAGTTTTTCTATGGCCTACAATTGGCCATCATTTCGTGCAACATAATTCCACTACAACTACTTTCCGAAAAAAAAAAAATTCCACAACCACTGTGCGTCAAAAAACATGGGTCCCAGTTTTTGTCATTTTATTATTCAACCACCCAGATTATGTTAAAATGGGTCCCAGTTTTTTATTTGTTTGTTTTATAAATGTAAGACTCAAGTCAATAAATTGTTGACGAAGTAAAAACTAATTTGAGTTTTATGTTAAGCAATTGGCAGTCATTAGTTGTCTTTCTAATAAAAAATTAAATAAACTTGAGTCTGATTTGATCATTGGTAAACCAATTCAAATAACAATTTGTTTTCTTTCCCATAACACTGAAATACACGAAAAAATAAATAAATTATGAACAATGAAATTTAACTAAAACAATGATACTAAATAAGTCGGCCGATTTTGATTGGATTTTCACATTATCTGTTTTATAATGGGCAAAATTTCTACACTAGGCGTCAAAAGAAGACTGGATTCCACATGTCATCATCATTAATGTTTTGAACGTGGACGTGGAAAGATTAGCTGGAGTGAAAGTGATAGGTTACATTACATTCAAAGAATCAAAACAACAATGTTATTTACCATAATAGCCCTGAAAAAGGGAAAAGGGTTGTTCCTTGTAACTTCCTTAATCTTCCTCCACAATCGGACATCAAGCCTCAAATGCAGCCAAAATGCATCTTGCATGTGAATCTATTAATAAAAATATTTTAAAAAATATTTTAAAAACTTGATAAGTTATTTGTTATCCTTCAAAAAAAAATAATAATAATAAATAAGTAAAAAAATTGAAATGAAAAGCAGAGCAAAAGACTATTATTTTTAATTATAAATTTGTCTTTATTCTCTCATTTCATTTTTTTTTCTCACAAACTTTATTAATTTTAAATTATGAAATAAAAAAAAAATCTTCAATTATCTTCAATAAAGCGTGTGGAAATTATTAAATCAAATTTTTTTTTTTTTTCTCAATAAATCAGTGGGATAGAAATGAAAATGATGAGAACCTAATGATAAGTTCCTGTTAAGATTTGACTGGTTAGAAATTAAATTGTTGACAACCTTATAATCCATTTGTGGTTACAAGTGAAAATTCAATTTCATAATTTCCAACAACAAAGTCAAAGAGCGCGTGGAAATTATGAAATTGAAGAATGATAAAGCTTCTCTCATCATAAATCTTAGACAATAAAGTCAAAGAGCGCGTGGAATTATGAAATTGAAGAATGATAAAGCTTCTCTCATCCTAAATGTTAGGCAATAAAGTCAAAGAGCGCCTGAAAATTATGAAATTGAAGAATGATAAAGGTTCTCTCATCATAAATCTTAGACAACAATGTTAAAGTCAAAGAGCGTGTGAAAATAAATTTTAGACAACGAAGTCAAAAAGCGTGTGGAAATTATTTAATGGTGATCTCTCATGAATCTGCTTCGGTTCTCATCTCCGAACCTCTATCCCCATCCATGGACTTCACTCATCAGCACCAATTAACATGCCCTAAAACTGTCAACTTATGACCTATTAAACTAACGTATAACCCACTGACATAACAAAAGCAAATAAGGTTTTAATTGGGATGGATTTTATGCCAATTTTGTACTGTAAAAGTAAAAAAAAAAAAAAAATTCCTGAATATTTATATTGTGTAAAGAAATATTTACTCATAAGTAGTACCTTTCTTAATTAAAAACATAAGGAAACATGAAAAATTAAAAAGAAGAAATTAAAAATTAGAATTTTTTAGAAAAGATTGTTGGCATGTGTACAAGACATATGCCCCCCATTTGAATCTATGTTGGCATGTATAATTTATTACCTTTGTTTTCCGCAAGCAAAGCAGTAATTTATTGAATGTAAAAGGAAATTACAAAGCAGAAATCTCTTTATATACTTACAAATCAATATATACTTTGCTTTAACTTCCACAATAAATTAACAAAAATAACCACAGCAATAGAAGTGGAGTCCAGAGAAGCTGCCTCAATCCTCATGAGTTCTCATGAAAAGCTGCATCAAAATTCAGCTTGGACTCTCTAGAATTCCTCCCATTGATGAGAAAATTATTATTCACTCATACTCTTTCTATTTAAAAAAATAAGATAGTAATTTTATTGTTATTATTATTATTATTTTTTTTCTTTCTTATATCATATTCAAACAAGAATATTATCATTTCTTTTCTTTTCACTCTTATCGATCCAAACATAATTAAAAATTATTGATATCTTTCTTTTCTTTCCTTTTATCTTGTAACTAATATGATTATTATATATATATATATATATTTTTTTTTTTTTTTTTTTTTTGCGCATCCAAACAAAGCCTAACTGATTGAAAAGTAAGGACATAAGTAAACCTTTGAATCTAGATGTCACTTGTAATGCTCCAAATTTTAAACTAAGCAATCTGTATAAAAGTTTACCCATCACGCTACATTTATTGGGTGAAAATAAAATTCTTGCGAATATTGTAAGCCATGTCTCGAATTTGGTGAGCCACAGATATTTTTCAAAAAGATAAAACATGTTGCATTATTTCTACACTAGGCGTCAATAAAGGGTGTGGAAATTATGAAATTGAAAAAAAAAAAAAAAAAAAAATCTTCAATTATATTCAACCAAGTGTACCCATGCAAGGCGTCAAAAAAATGGGTTCCACTTACCATCATCATCATCAATAATGTTTTGAATGTGAACGTGGAAAGATTGGCCGGACTGGAAGTGATGTTACATTACTTTCAAAGAATCAAAGGAGCACTATTATTTACTAGAATAACCCTGAAGAAGGGAAAATGTTTGTTCCTTGTAACTTCCTTAATCCTCCCTAATCAGACATCAAGCCTCAGCCAAAATACATCTTGCATATGAAGCTATTAATAACAATATTTGGAGGAATATGTTTAAAAGTTATTTTGTTATCCTTTAAAGAAGTAATAATAATAATAATAATAATAGAGAAAATGAAATGAAAGGTAGAGAAAAAGACTATCATTTTTAATGAAACTTTATTAATTTTAAATCTGCCTTTATTTTTATAAAAACAAAATCTATAAAAATAAAAATAAAAATATATGGTGATAAATTCATTAAAATAATTTTATTTTTTTCTTTTTCCAAATATGATTACTATCCTTTCATTTCTTTCCATTTATAAGTTAACCAAACACAATAAGTACCTCATACTATTCTTTCATTTCATTTTATTTCTTTTCTCTCATAAACTTTATTAAATTTAAATTATGAAATTAAAAAAAAAATTCTTCAATTATCTTCAATAGAGCGTGTGGAAATTTTGAAATTGAATTTTTTTTTTCTCAATTATCATCAATAATGCTTGTGGAAATTATGAAATTGAAAAAATTCTTCAATAAAGTGTGGACGTGGTCAGATTCATTGGACTGAAAGTGATGTTCCATTCTTTTTTACTAGAATAGCCATTAGGAAGGGAAGGTTTGACAAGTAGTAGCATAGTATAGTTCACTCTTACTTTAGGTCACGGAGAATATGTGAAAAATTATATATCCTTTTGCAAGTTAGAGGCATAATACTAATTATTATGAGTATCAAAAAAATCTTGAAAAGTTGAACCTAAAGAGATATTAAATGCTATATTTTTAATATCATAAAAATAAGAGTGAACACGTAAGAGTAAAAAACTATATTTGTCAAGTGCACAAAGTTTATGCTCAGGTGGAGCAAAAAAAAAAAAAATTACATATAATGCATGCTTATTGAAGTAAAAATAATTGCTGCCCAGTTTTTAAAATTTGAAAAATTACATACAAATTTCATGTAAATTTTCAATATAATTGATTAAATCTCAAAACTCCAAACAGTAAAATTTCATAAGCCAAAGGTACTTTTCAGAGAGAAAGATGATGATTGTGAGATCGGAAAAAAGCCTATTCTAAAGTGGGTGCAAAATTTCTACACTAGGCGTCAAAAGAAGAATGGGTTCCACTTACATCTTTATTGTTTTGAAAGGGGATGTGGTTCGGTTGACTGAAAGTGACGTTAAAGGAACAGTGTTATTTACTAGAGTACCCTTAGGAAGGGAAAATGTTTGTTCCTCGTGACTTGCTTTGTCTGAACCCTGAAGTAAGCTTCCACACAGCTTCATCTTCATCCTTGAACGTGGAAGACAACCTTTTTGACTTTCTTGTCTACGGCACATGATGCATGACAGTGGTGACTGGTTTGATCAGGATCTTTGCACCAGTGAAGCATTTGACGGATCCAAATCTGCACCGGTGCACCTCTCACCGGACAGAATTCAGTGAGAATTCAAGGACTGAGATCAAACCACCTCAACCCTTCTTGTCACATAAGCGCATGACACAAATCAACTCAGCACCCGATCAACAACACAGTCAACAAAATTACTAATTTATGCTTTTTTAACCACATGCACTAATACAATATATCTCTAACATATACTTATATATCATATAGATACAAAATATATATACAAATATTATACAAATCTTATATACAAAAACATATTATATACAAAAATATTTTATTTCATTCATTTTCAATAAAATTACAAATCTCAATACAACATACACTTATACATTATATATATACAAATCTTAAATACAAAAATATATCACATTTTAGTATCCAAATATACGTAAAACTATGTATTATATTCAAAAATATTTTATTTTATTCATTTTCAGTAAATTTACAAATCTCCATACAACATACAATTATATATTATATATATACAAATTACAGTTCAGTATCCAAATATATGTATAACAATATATTATATACAAAAATATTTTATTTCATTACTTTTCACTAAATTACAAATCTTAAACATTGATTATGTATTGATATAGTTCAGTATCCAAATATAAATTTATTTGAAATTTTAGGATTTTGAAATAATTGACTAATTATATAGATTTTAGAGTTGTGGAAGTTTATTTTTTAAACGTGTTAGGAAAATATGTTGATGTTATATGGAATTCA